GTATGCATGGAGTTATAAGCGTTTGAAGTTTCCAAATTTTGTCCGACCTTTCCTATTGACTCGATACACCATACGGCAGTTGGCCGAAAAGTAACGAGATGATGGTACAGACGAGAGAATAATAAAATCTCATTGGTCAGCGATGCACTCCTATTTGCACCGGGAAAATCGGTCGAAATCGATTCCGTTGCTTCAGCGCTCCCGTTTTTGAAATTAGCCTCAACAACCGAAGCCAACATTCTGAGGGTATAAGTCAATGGCAGCAAAGTTTCAAAATGTCTCCAACCTACAGCCACAAGAACAGTTATCACACCAACCTAAACGAAGTATCAATCCGTTTTACTTCATTTAGTCTCTCATTCTCTTCGATGATCATCATTGAACGCAAATAAACCACGTATTTGAAATTTCCATATTATATAAGGACCTTATAAATTAGCATTTATTCAATGACGTTCATATAGCGCACATAGTAGGTCCGTACATTGTATGATACAATTAAGCATAAAATTACACCGAAAATGATACCCATGCGGTTCCCACAGTCGATAAAAATCGCGCATGACAATTATGCGTCATTACGACTTGGTGTCCTCATTTCCTCTCATGCAAGTTCAAATGAATACCTTGTTGTGCATTTAAATCAAAGCTCTTGGAATTTTTATTAATCCTATGTGTCTTTATGATTTTACTTTCCTTTCTGGGTGATTAATGAATTTTCTGAATATTGAAGCAGCAGATATCGTAAAGTGCTAATTCTTACGGCAACGAGGATTCCCTCTTCGACTAAGACAGACATCTTTAACCGACTTTTAAAAAATATTGTTTTAAAATTTATGTGAATATTCTTGGTAAAATATCTTAGAATGACTTGCTAGAGCTTAAGAAAAGACATGTATTCATAGCTAAGATAGTGAACAGGAAGTAAGGTACCTGGAGCCAAAAAGGGGCTCCGTGGCCTGAAAACTAAAACTCTTAGGTTGCATTGCATCAGCCATCCACTGCACTGATAAAAACAATATTAAATACATGAGATGGTGCGTCTGATCGTACACAAGCATCGGCTTGAGGCCTAAAATGATTAAGAAGTTGGAATAAAGAAAGGGACAGAAAAAAGGTAAGGGAAAAGGATAGACGAAAAGTCTCAGGGAGAATTTTGAAGAAAAGTTCGCGTAAATTTTTCTTGTGCAGTTTTGATGTGAGGCAAAATGTTTCTACAGATCTGGGTGTTTCCTTGGAAATTTGAAAACCACCCAGTGTGATATGCACACAAAAAAACTCGCGACAGTAGCTCAGAGAAGAACTAAGCAAAATATATTAACTGCACGTTTAGGTTACTTTGTGATCTTCTTCCCACTTTAACACAAAATTTCGCTTACTTTTTCTTACTGCGCACCCTCAATGTTCAGAGTTAATGTATAACGTCAAAACGTTGCCACCATTCACACGATTACCCTAAATATTATCATCTTTCAAAACCACCTCAAATGGGGGAAATTGATACGACTGAGTGTGCTCTTAATTTGCTTGCTCTCGGGTATGATTTTAGGCCAGTTGTTTTTTCTTTCTTTGCATCAATTTTATTACAGGTCTTCACTCATGGCCTCGTTAGTTCGTGATCAGAACACACGGCGCGGCGCCCCTCAAAAATACGTGAAATCTAATTTGATGCTTTTTCATGAAGACCCTTCCAGATCTAATTAGTTTTGAAGAAGAGCTGTCGTGATTACTATAAGTTTCGAAACGAGAAATTAGCTCGCTTAATCGAAGAAGAACCCACTCAAATATTGTGAACGGACAGCTGACCGCGGTCGCTCAAGCCGCCTCATTCTCCACCGTTGCCAAAGTTATGATCTGAAGCTCAAAACTTTTTTGATTTTCGATTGCAGAGCCCATGTAGCACAGATTACAATGCATACCATACCAACCTTTACCATACCATCAATACCATACTTTCAAACTTTTCTCGTCAAATCCCTCCCTTTTTCAAACGACTTAATCTCCAAATTTAATTTATTTTTTCCATGTCCTTTCTAATCACTGCTCTAGGTGTTGATGGCCCTGCTTTGCTAAAACACCTTAAAAGTATGAAACAAACAAACAAACGAACAAACAATTTAAGCGCTGGGTGCAGAGAGAGCATTTCTAGGTTGCGATGTCTTAGAATATTTGCTAACGGATCATCCATTATAATTAAAGCAAATGCCTAGAATTCGCTGAAACTCTTGGCGAATTTTCTTTATGATTTTAAAATTCTAAAAACGCAAAATTTCAGAAAATTCATCCAACAGTCACTCCTCTAAAATATAAATTAGCAGTGAAGAGTCTGACACACCGCAACCAAGAAATGCTCTTTCTGCACCCAACGCCTCAATTAAATGGTAAAAGAATTGCTATTGCGTTGGCATGTTGTATATGTTGCCTATCAACTTATTGAAGGGACACTTCTCATTGAAATTTTCTCTATGATACATTACAATAAAATTTGAATAAGTGCAATTGCTCAATGCATCGCAACTTGCCTATTTTCTGACACACGGAGCTTGTCTTGTTGATTGTTAAAAATCAGCATTCATTGACCATGTGATGTAAAATTATTGCAATTATATGGTAAATATTAAGTCACAATGTTATGTCAATATTTTCATCCCACTGTGCTACTAGAAAGTTAGGATATTCTTAGAAATAAAATTTAGAATCTGCGTAATAGAGATCCCTAAAAAGGAACCGCAAGATAGGCCGAGAATTGGATGTCTCATAAACATGTTTCTTCATCAAAATATCATGAAAATTACTTTTTTTCGTACCACCGCATAGGTGTCTCTGTTACAACTGTAGTCTGACCTCGTCATGAATTGTATTCGATACATCAAACAGGCGTTTTATCGCTGAGATTGCATCGATATCGATTGGTTCAACATGTAAACATAGCCACCAAACACCAAACAAAAGTCAATCGAAGCATTAGTGGGAACGGATTTTTGTGATTGATTTTTGATTCTTGTGAGTACCGCATAGCAATGAAAAGTGAAATTCTCAAGAATTTCCTAACTTAATTCCGAAAATTTTTGTTTGAGGTAATGTTCTATTTTTGTGAACCAAACGATACATCGAACAACTATCGAATACGATCCACTGTCACATCTGCAGAATGCGCTATAGTGTCACTTTCCGCTTGTGATAAACAAGAAAAATAGCAGAAATTTTGAAACAATGTAATCAAGAAATTATGTCAAGTTTATCATCGGAATGTATAGAGGATGATGGAGATTGTGCGTTGAGGTAACTTGCGGTGGCAACAACGAAGGGCTGGGTCCAAGCGGCCAAACTGGTGACTCGAGTTTGATGATTAGTGGCTGCGATGTGTGGTAAACACTGCTCTCGGTGCATTATTCAGGATAATCACAAAACCTCACTGCGAAATACCATAAAAACGTAATAGTGACAATGAGTGAGGAGCGCCGAGGCAGAAGTCACCGAGAAACGATTTGATAAAGAGGTCAAGTGGTGGTACTGAAGATGAGGGACAAACGCTAGCTCTTGCACCAATCTCTCACTCTTCGATTGACTTTCTTGGACTGCCATGTTTTAGCAATTACTCGTAAAATTAAGATTTAACTTTGAAAAACATTGAAGACGGACGCCTGAGAGAAACCGGGTTCAAGTATCAAGTAAAATATTCTGGAAGGAGGGGTCCTGGGATTTTTTAAACTTATTCCCACTTAGAGAGGAGATAGGAAACGCAATATAAATCCTTTTTTGAACAATCTGTCAGGTTTTCGAGGTTATTTCTTTTTTTAATTTTTTTTTTTTTTGAAAAATTTGGAGGGGGTAGGGTGGAACCAGGCTTACGTAATTCTAAGGGGAGGGGGTGAGGGTCAAAAAGTCGGCCAAACAGCTTACATAATACGTGAACGGTCCCAAAAAAGATTCAGCCCCGCAGACGTCTAAAGAACCATTATCGCATTATTTCCGCCGCTAGAGCGGAAAATAATGATAATTTTTTAATCATTTACCTACTAGTTTCTCTGTGAATCGATTTTCGTTTTGAGAAATTTTATTTCAAGCTTGCAATTCCCACTGTAATCAGCTGAAACTTTGACTCGGGGCCTCTTTTGGTCAAACGGATCAAGTGAGATGAGTGAGGCCAAATAAAAATACTACTTGAACACTTCCTCATGATCAATGAAGCGACTATAGTGTTCCATGCTTCAAAACCTGGCCTTTAAAAAATCATGGGAAATTACAAAATGTAATTATTTCGCTTCTCCCATTTTCGGACTGTTTCTGATTTAATGTTTCAAATATTTGTCTCATTATGAAATTTATAATGGAACATAGGAAATGCTCACGAAAGAGATCAGCGCAGTCCACATGGGGTCATTTTTGCGAATCTTTTTGCAAAAACCTGCCTCAGCGAGAGCACATCACAGAAGAGAAAGTGATCGAAGCCCTGATTATACTTTTGGAGGATTCATAAGTTATGATCCTTGAGCATGCCACAGTTATTCTAATCCGCGTGTCCTCATTAAAAAGGGATCTTCATGCAAGAAGCTCCTCTTTATTCACTGGTCAGCATTTTTGATTTTTGCACCGACTTGTTACGTAAAATTCGGTGATGCAATCAACCGCAGCAGTGCAGAAGCTGTGAGCAATGAGATGCACCTGTGGCTAACGTGTTTTTGAAATGCAAAATCATCAAGTTTCTGGAGTAGCAGAAGTGAGAATAAAATTTCATAGTGAAAGCATCTAAGGTTATTTTTTAAAATTGCGTTTGGATTTTGTTAAATCCCGCTAAGTTTAATCACTTATTTTCTTCAACCCCTAAAGTTGATCTGCACATTTTGTATGTTTTCAATTCTTAGTGCAAATCCTGAAAATTCAACAGAGATACTCAGTTGGATCTTTTTAGTTCTCGCTTTTTATTCCTAACGTATCTCGATTGTAATGCAGAATTTTTCGCAAGAGGTCATCAGCGAGGGTAAAGGAAAACATGAATATTTTAACAAAACAAATTTATTTAAAGTAATGCAAAGATCTCATTTGTGAATACACGTAACATACAGAAAGTGCAACCTACCACAAGGGATAATACTTCAAGACTGATAATTTTACGCTCATAATCTTCCTTTTGATTTCAAGCACATAATTTTTGGCAATTGTGTACACCAAGGGCCTTTTTTACGTTTCCAGCGATGCCTTGTATGTTTTTAGAACCAACATTTTTTTACGTAATATTCGGGGAATACAAGACAAATAAGAAGATTTTCAATGAAAAATTCACAGAAGCACTTATTTGGAAAAAAAAGTGCAGTGTTAACTCACGTATCATTTTACATTAATTTCAAATGATTTTGCTAATTTTAAGTGATTTCTAAGGAGAAAAATAAACTTTCAATCGCACTAAAAAAATATCATGGGAGGACTCAAAAATTGATGATAATATTTAAGTATATTCACGTACGATGTGGATACAAATACTTGTAGGTATCCCGTAATACAGATATTTAATCACAGTTAAGACATTATTTTCAATGATTTGGTCCAAATAGGTACACGAAAAACTAATTGATCATTTCATCAAAACTAAGGAGATTGAAAAAAATGGAACACTTTCATAAACGTTAATCTGAACTTCCCTATGTCATTTTTGCAGAAATATCAAAAGTAAGGCGGGTCACACACATATTTAATACTCATGGCAATGGCATTATTCACAATTTTTGACTACATCTAGAAACTAATTGACATTTCAGATGAATAAAAAGAAATCGAAGTAACTTCGGATGACACATTTCAACATCGTCTCAGCAACCATTTTTTTGCATCTAAATCATTTGGTTTATTTATTTGGACGAATCTAAGTATATAAAATACGTTCTTTTAGCAAATACTTTTATACGTGCTTTTGCAACTTTCTGTATCGTAACTTTAACTATCAAGAATCATATTTTACCCAATTGCACTAAATAAACTTTCAATTTAATAACTAAAATAATTCTAACTTGTGGTTTGACTAGTTACCTGTGCTTTTTCCAAAGCCTTGGGGCCAAATTTTGTCGAAAAAATTGGACTACCTACAATATATACAATTACAATGTAAATATGCTTAAGACGGATCACGAACTATCTAGAGTCCGCCTCAGCGCCTCTGATTGGCCGGTGGTGCTGTTTTGACTCGCAAACGTATACATGCTAAACTTCGGTGAAGTATTATCGATAAAATTCGGCCCCATGGTTTATATTAAAAACATAATATTTTATATACATATTTACAAATACAATATACTTTAATTAAATATATTGGATCATTGTCATGACCTGTCATTCAGACTCAAACCAAAATAGCAAACCATGATAGGTGGTCATTCATATTATTCTAATAAAATACTTTTAATTTAATTGATTTTCATCAGAAATGAACATGGACGACTTTTAGACTTTTACAATTCAAGAAATGATTATTTGTACAAGTCCTCGAAGTGTGTCTAGCACTTCTTTAAATAACATCCTCAACTAGTAAACGAGATCAAAAAAGAACGTACTTCATGCATTTTTAATCTACGTTATAGATATACACTAACTCACTAGAAGGTAAGTCACTTTCACTAGTTTAAATATAACGCTACATGAAAAATTGAATTTACGAGGAATAAAAAATAAATTCGTCTCCGACCTGTAAATGCATTGGAAAATGCCAAGTGTACCCTTAAGCTATCTATTCAAGTAGTTAACATTTTTCTACTTTCTACTTCGTATCGCATACTTGATGCAGTAGGTGATGCAGTAAGCGCTTAAACAGTCACTCATATAGAAAAATTGACACAAAATAAGAAAATGAAAAGGACAGAACAGAAGATAAAAGAATATTTCAATGTTTCTCCTCGAAAGGAGCTTACAAATCGTCACTAAGAGGATATTGTTTTAAACAATTCCAAGGAATGATTGCTTACAAATGACTAACCGGTAGAATCATCTACTGAGAATCAACTTTTTGTATAAAATTTCTAACTATACAACAAGGATTTAACTGGGCATAGAACGCGTGGAAATAGAAATTCTGTACAGATTTGATTTCAATTTGATTTTGGTTCGATGCAGTTGATATGTTAGTTATTTCAAGGTGGAAGCTTATCGTACTTGATTTGTAAAGTAGGGGGAATATTAAAACTTCAGTTCACAGAGACGGATCCAGCAAGTTGGCAACATCGGATTTCCTCTATTTAAACCTATATTCAATAATCGATTCTTGTAGGAGTACCTGACCCCTTCAAGAATCTATACATTTCCATAGGTTTAAATGGGGGAAAAAACAATGTTGCCAATTTGCTGGATTCGCGAATGCGAGTTACAGTTTTGGTAAAAGCTCTAGCTCGTTTTTTGAAAGTAAGCATAAATTGAGCAAAACTTCAACGTTAGTATCAGAAAAAACTCGTCCATTTCCACCGGTGACAACACTGTAATTTTCAATGAGAAATCTAAGAACTCGTTCTCATGATCGAACGGTGAGGTCGAGCGGGTGCTTTTTCTCGTTGTTGTTCAAATTGTCGTCATCGACAAACTCATCGACGTTGATATCGCTCTGCGGGCTCGGCACGGAGCCTTGCCTAAAACTAGCGACCGACCCGCAGTCGGAGCCGCTACGGCTGCCACCGCGATTCGTCGTCAGGTCGATGGGCTGCTCCTGGTGGTAGTCAACAAGCGTTGCAGACGTGTCCTCATCTTGGTCCATCTCCTCGACATCCAGTTCCGTGGAGATTCTCCTCTTCGTATACACACTCTTAGGATCGGTGACTTCATGCCTTTCCCGCTTCCTCTTACTCTCGTCGGGGTCCGTGTCGAAGGTGGGTTTGAAGGGGGAGGAGTTGGAGTGGGAGAAGAAGGGCGGTGGGAAGTGGATGAGGTTGATGTTTGGGTGGCTGGCGAAGGACGTCGGGTAGAAAGACGGGAAAATAGGGAACCCAAGCTCGGGGACTCTACTCGGGAGGGTGGCCTTGGTGACGGGCGAGATGAGGCTCCGCCTGAACTTATAGTCCGTCGTCTCCGCCGACGAATCGGAGGCGTGAGAGTCGGGTGAGCTCATCGACGGCGAGGACCCGGAAGTAAGGGAGGCGTTCTTGTACTCGTCCAGGCCGAGCATGGATTCCTCCCTGGTGAAGCGGTGCATCGCCGCCGCGGCCAGGTGCATGTGGAGCCGCGGGTCCAACATGTTCTGTTGGAACATGCTCGAGGACAGGAGTTGCTTCCGGTCCGGCTCTTCTACAGTGGTGTCGCCTTTGCTGATTGTGTTGTTGTTATTGTTGTTGTTGCTCATGCTCTGCTGCTGCTGCTCCTGGAGGAGGCAGTGGATCTTGAACCAGTTGGACCTGCGCCCGTAGCGGGAGCCGCTCTTGCTCATGCCGACGGACATGCACTTGCGCAGCCGGCAGGCTTTGCAGGAGGTCCGGTTCTTCTTGTTGATGACGCAGCCGCCGTTGTTCTTGCATTCTGAGATGGCGTTTAGGTTGTTGTACGAGCGACCGAAGAACGACTGAAACACACAAAAAAACACACCACGTTAATTACCCATGTCAGCATAATTTGATTCTATAATATAAAAGCATACGATTAACATGTAACGTATAACGCTTGAAGCGTGAAGAACTTCAGAGAGTTAATTCGCAAAAAGGTCAGAGGGGGCACTTTCGAGATTTAACTCGTGAAAAATTCATCCGCGTGACGTATATAATAGATCCTTACAATGGATTTTGTAGATTTTTCAGCCCAAAAAATGAAAGATACGATATACAGTATGTTGCAAAGCTTGCATATCCCAATTTAGAGCCCCAAACTGTAAAAAACTGTAACATTTATCGTTGAATTCGACCTTCCGCGAGATCATTCTAAATCGGGACATTAAAGCTCCAAACCAGTGGCGTGGAGTGAATGGTCGATTATCGATATTTCTCAATTTAAAGCTATGGTAAAGAATCGATTTTCAAGGTGTTCACTGCAAACACCCTGTTTATCGATCCTTTTCGATAGGTTTGAATGGCAGATCAATCGATATGTCGCAAAGCACGCCACGCCACTGCTCCAAACGTAGACGATCCTATGGAAATAGGAAATGACTAAGGGTGCGACTCCTTACGTCCGTGAAATCCGTTCCAAGTGTTTGTCGTGGTTTATAGTGTGCCATGATTTAGTTCACGGAAAGACTTCCAAGATGTGGACATCTTTTTAATGATCCTAAGACTAGTTGGGTCAACTGAAATAATAATTAGCGCATCATCTCGGAACCAGCTAATTTACCGTCTGACGGAGATCTATTACCGGGAACTTTTTGTCGTCCTCCCGCGATGTGAATTAATTCACTCCAGCCGACGCCGCATCTTCGAGTGAATTTGCCAATTCATTTTTGATTCCAACTAATTCCGGGCAAAATGCGTCTGGTCTGCGACTCCGACACCCGCTGCAGACAGGAATTCAATGCGCGGCGGCGTCTGAGCCCAGGCGCACCGGCCGGGGCAGCGGCAGATACGCTCCGCTCTATTTCGGGTGTCATTGAAAACCCATGGAGCTCATTAGGTGCTTGGCTCAACTACCGCCGCCTGGTTTCCCAACCGTCCGGACTTTTCAGGTTCATTAACAATTTTTCCTCCGCTGCGCTGCTTGCGCCGTCGCCGTGCCCGGCAATACGTTTTTTGCCCTGCCTCGGAAAGCCTCGAGATAATCGTGCATCCGGTTTAACTGTTGTGGCAATATCATCAACGATATGCCTGCGCGCCGACACAACTGTTTCCATCGGAAGCGAGCATGCAGGGGAAGAAATTATTCGAGATTTTGAAAAAATAGAAATTAAAACAACAGATCGTCAACAGGCCGAAGTATCACAAGAGCGATGCGACGTTTCAAAATTTCCGCCGCCATTTAATATCTTGACGGAGAAATTGTTCAACGAAGGTATCCGAAAATTTCACTGAATTTTCTTTGTGCTGCCGCTGAAATTCAGGAAAATTTTCGAACGGATTCAACCAACAATTTCTCTGTAAAAAGAAAAAAATGGCGGCGGAAATTTTGAAACGTCGCATGGCGCTTGTGAGAGTATTGTTGGAAACTGATGAATTAATATTGAATGTCGTCACCTTTCATTTGTGTTGAATAAAGTAAACAAAATGACATTACATGTTTGTATTATGAAGCGATGCTACGACACTGAGCTTACTTTTCTATCCCCGCGTTGAAGTCCCCGCGAAAACAATTCCCGAGAGTAGACATTGATTTCAGCGTTGCTGAAACATTTAGTCTACTCTTTTTAGAGCGAAAAATGTTCAGGAGTTCCAGACTCCCCGTTATGTGATTCATTTTTTCCGTGAAACTTTAAAAGCGAAAAGCGTTACGCACTGCTTTAATTTATACCTTGTCTAGAGGGCCATCTCTCATCTCTTTGGTCATTAGTCATCATTGGACGTTTCAGCGTTTACTTCCGAAAGTAACTTTTACTCGATAAGGAAGATAATAGTATAGGGTATTTAAAGTACAGAGCTATCCATAAACCCCTGTAATTTTTAAAAAAAATCGGATAGACCCAACATTTTTCGAGTGCTTCTGGATCAAAGGAAGTGACTTTTGTGGCCTCCCCCTCTAAGATAAATAAATAAATAAATAGAAAAAGTGAAGGGGACCTTCCTGGAAAGAGGCAAGAACTCTAAATTATTAGGATGAGACTTTTGGATTGCCCAGTATACCGTCTCGGAGCGCATCGTCCGGAGAGGGGTCTGGCAGTGGAGGGTCTTGAGTTAGTAGCCGGAAAGTATTGCAATCAGAACGGCGCGCCCGAATTGACTTATGATGAAACTTTGAGAGTGGCTAATCACTGGTATCAATGTCAAATATTTTAATTGGGAACAAAATTGTTCAATCAACTTTGACCCGGGCAAGGAGTTATGCCGGCCGGCACCGGCTCGCGACGGATTTTTCGCGCACCGTTGAGCTCCAGTGCACCACTGCCTTCTATTTCCAGCGCCTGCCACGTTTTCTGACCTAGAGACACAGCAGCCGATAATCCAACTCTTTCATCGACCATAAACCCGCGAGCATTGATCTTCAGAGCTGACAAATACATCGCTGCGCTCAATCAGAGTTCGAACCGTTTTGTCAGGATTGGTTCACCTGCGCAAGTGTTGGGACCGTATTCATAGCCGCTCCTTAATGCATTTTTTGGTTTTTAAAAATTGAATTACTTACTATGACATTGTGTTGCAAATTCTTATCGATTTTTTCTTCTTTGAAAAATGATTCACAAAATTATGAAATTTTTAGGAAAGAATTTGTGACTCTATATTTTTACAAATAGCATAGATATGCGTACCTCAAATCCGAGACTTAAAATGATTCATTTCGCAGAGAGTTAAACTGCTCCCTCAAGGAAGGCCCGCTTGGTTTACAGTGTGATTACGGGGGTTAAAGAGGTCCTTAAAATAGCATCATAAAAAAGACAATTTTAAGAAATCTCAAGTAAAATTTTCACCTTTGGGGGAAAGGTCCCTGCAAGAAATTACAATGCTTTGCCTCAAAAAATTATTTTAAAAAAAGCAGAAGAAAAAAGAAAATTGCAGTGTTTTAACTGTGCTTTTTGTAAAAGGCAAAATATTGTAATCCATTGTAAAGGCCTTACGAAGTTTAGTGTTGAATTTTACTTGAGATTAGTTAAAATTTTCCTCTTTATTGTGCTTCGTTGAGGGTCTTTGAACCTCCAATTTGTGGCTTCTAGAGAGGAAGAGTTGCTCAAAGAACGACCACGGGTACGATCTCATGACTACGATCCATAGATTTGCGCTTCAGACAGACTGTGGTTCTGCATTTTCTCATTTTTCTTCTTGAGGGGTTCACTAAGGGGAAGCTTTACAAGATTATAGGGGGTGCGTGGTTGTCTGACGGTGGTTGTTCCGTACAAGGAGAGAACAGCTGGTTAAAAAGTTGGCCCAAATGCCTTACGTAACATTTGACCAGTCTCTTTTTTGCGTAACTGCGTCTCGACAATTGAATTGATGCGATCAACCCGGATTGCCGTTGTTATAGAGGTAAGTGGATCAAGTTCAATGTGCGAGCTCGGGAAAAATTGAAGTCCTTGTCATCCTCTGAAATGAGATTCGGAAATTCACACATAAAATCGAAATAATGGAAAGTGAAGGTTAGCGCGTGCGTGCTCGCGCGCCTCCGTGCCGCCGGTCGCAGGTTCATGTGCATGCGAACTCGGGAACAATGCCTGGGTCCGATGCGCCACGCGCGCCAACTGCATAGCTCCGCTTTAGAGACGGCCGCGCGCGCGCCGCGCTCAGCCAAGCTCGTCGCTCGTCGCGCAGTGCCCCTTCACCAGAAAATATCCACGAAACGCTCATATTTCAAAAGATAGAGGATATGCAGGTCAGGCTGACAGAGGAACGTAGAATTTAAAATAGTGAAATCATACGTGAAATATTTCAAGGAATTTCCAAATATGTGAGAAATTCATGCAAATTTCAGATATTCTGGAGATATCTTTGAAACTTTTATAGATTTATGAAACACATCCGTGGGGTTTTAAATTTTTCAAACACATCCGAAAACATTCGAAATTTTTTAAAGATTCCGGGAAATTTCGAAATTCGTGCAATATTTCCGGCGATCGCCGAAATGTATTAACTAATAAAAAATATGTTTAAAACCGTCAGTTATCAGCTAACTGGATACAATAATAAAAATATCTTTCAGTATTGTCGTAGGGCGTTATATATTCTCACTTTTATCACTCATTCCTCGCCTTTAAGAAAAAAAATATAAATTGAGAGAGACAAAGGAACGGGTTTTTTTGCATCGTTAGGTGGTTTTTAGTGCGGTTTGCATCCCTACCCCTGAATTTGACGCTTCACATTTTTGAAAAAGTCCACGGTTCTGTATAAAGTTGTTTAAAATGAACTCCTCTCTTGTCATGCATCATCATGATCGTGAATCTTTGAGCCGAAATTATACTTGGTGTTGGTGACTACTTTTCTTACCCTGCGTTCAAGTCTCAAGCGAATATGAATTACTGATGGTCTTCAAAATGATTCGTGTTTTCGAAATTTTTCGATTTAAAATGAACCTCATTTTGTACCTACTAGATTTATAGTAAAATTTTTATCGCACTTAATTAAACGACATCTACAGCTTGAATTTTTCTGGTGGATCTTTAGTTTTTCAAAAATAATTAACCTGCGGTCTAAGCAGACTTTTAAGAGAAATCTCCATAAGGCTCAGGCAACAAAATTCACTCATATACCGGAAGTGTGAAACGATAGATTGATCTTATGAAAATAAAAAAGAGAAAATAAATTTAATACATTCTGCTTCATTTGGTTCCGTTTCTTGATAATGACTTTCAAGAAGATTGCTCTCCAATTCTCCATGCTTCATTTGCTTCCGGTTTCCAGAAAATTTTGATTTTTAAGCCTTTACAACCAATTTGCGGTAATTAAATGAGTAAGAGACATTTTCGAGGTTAAAGGGCAAGAGAATTTGTGACAAGTAAAGTCGAATGTTCATATGTTGCGAATTATTCACTCTCATGCCCACTGAGCGGCTCAGGCTGGCATGGCACTTGGACGCCTAGCTTGAGAGAACATTAATCCATATTAATTATTCGTCAAGAGCGGCGAAGCGTTTCTTCAAATCGTCGTGGATGAAGTAATGGAGTAAACTGTTTTGTAATGGAAAAACATTTAAAAATACACGAGTTGTTTTGTAAAAGGACCTTCAAGGAAGATGACCATCCAGTTCACTGGGTCGGAAGTTGGGAGAGCTTTCCTGCCTTGGCTCACTTGGATTCTCAGCCCGCAACTTACAGTTCCACCGGTGCCCCCTCCAAATCCTCTCTCTCTCCCCCCGTCTTTCTCTCTCCCTCACCTCCCTCTGTTTATCTTTCTCTGGCACTTGTCGTTGTCTCTCTTCCCTCGCTCTGACCCACCCGCACTCTCTGTCTCTTGCAATTTAAACTCTCACAATCCGTATCATCACCAAGTTTATTGCTCGCACGAATTATGAAGTAATAGCTCAATGGTAAACATAGTCTCTTTAACCTTCACTCGAGCAATTCAGTTGCAGATTATTTGGTCGTGAATTTATTCTTTTTCTTTCCTCTGCGGTAGTAACAGAGACTGGCTTCCTACCCAGTCTTGCGGTTAGCTGTTGACATAACCGTAAATCTTGATTCAGTTGGTCCCCAAGTACTTAACTGCATCAGCAATCAAAATAATTGAAAATTTGAGTGCTCTGAAGGAGGGCAATAATAAGATAATTTTCAATTTTATTCCAAGGGTCATCAGTCAGATTAAGCGCCGGTACTGCAAGTGCTTCTAACTTAAACTTTAACTATTTTTTCTTTCCATCCCACGCAAAATTAGCACGATCTTGACAGAAATTGAGCTGTCGTTTTGGTGAGAAAATCAAATTTTTCAAGTCACTTCTGCAACCATGGAAAAATGTTACGTTTCCTCGCCTACAAAACGATAAAATGAGGAGAATATTGAGTTTTTTCTCTCGCTTTCTTATGAATAATATAAACATTCTCGCTGTATGCGTTTGCAGTGTGTTTAGTGCCGTCGTAATGCAATTCTATTTATTCTCGGTGGTGAAGGTTTTGAAAAAAATCACGCAAACAGTCACCTGTAGATGTAAATTAAAACCATCAAGAAGCGTATTAAAATCACGACTCACCTTGCAACCCTCACAAGTGAAAGCGCCAAAATGAAATCCTGCAGCCGGCTCGCCGCACACCTTACATTGTTGGTTCATCTGAAATCATAAAAATGAAAATACTTAGCACCCCAAAATTGCAATGCTTAAGCTACAATAATAAAAAGGGCAAATTGTAGTGTCAGTTTCGAATGACCTCGATCAATTTGAGGCTCTATTTAACTCCTACTTATTTAGTGCGTAAGTAAAAGTACACAGCTTTTACGTAGGCTCTGAATAACTTAAGCTCTTCACTTTTTGATTAAAATAACGACCAGAGAACTTGAAATCAACCTGAAAGAAACAATTTACATTGAAAAATATTACCTATTTTTAGATTTAAAAGAGGGGGGGGGGCTATGCAAGTTGGACTTGACCCTCTTCTTTCCTCTTATGATTCCATAGGGCTAACCTGGACGTCCTCGTCTCCCCCTTAAAGTAGCTTACGTAAGCGCGCGTAAGTGTATCGTGTTTTACGCTGGATTGGTTGTATTTTATCATTTTGTTTAGAAACTATTTTTGACCTGTGAATGACCGCAAAATTTCCATTGAGAAAAGATTGAGAATTTGCAAAAATAATCACTGCGGACTATAGTAAATCTGTATACGGGTAAAAGGGGAAAAAATAACGTGTAACGAAAAGGGACACGATGTGACAAATAAAAGAAAAATAAATAAATAAATAAAAATAATCCCACTGCGGCTAAAAACGTTTTTCGCGACGTTCGCAAATCATCCATCTTCTACGGGCACCCACCGCCGTGCTTCGACCTTCTCTCCTCCCTACCATCCAACCCTCGTGGATATCCGCGACGCGGAGTGGAGTTGCCTTATCAGAGAGGAATGGCTCCAAATTTAAGCCGAGATCCGATTTCGAGGAAAGAGGCTGACAACAGCGGTGCTTAGACAACCGCAACGCCCGCCGCCGCTGCAATAGTGGCGACACACACCACTGACCTTAGACAATTACTCCATTCATGACCTTTTTATTCCAATTCTTATTCGTGTATGAGAACTCTCCTTTTCTTCTCTAATTGATATTACACATTCCCATGCATAATGTTCACAACACGTGAGCTAGAGCATTTCACGAGCGGCCCGTCATGCTGCTTTTGAGTTAACAGTTATACATCTGGTAGAACAATTTACGGGAATCCTGCTCTTGTTTTTGACGTTTGGATTTAAAAAAAATTGAATATTCCTAAAAAAAATTCCTAAAAAAATTGTCGGTAGCAATAATTTACGGAGAACCGTAGCGTAGGATGCCGTCCCAAAATTATGTAATGCACTTTTTCGGCACTGTTTACCCCTCTTCCCCCTGTAACTCTTTTGTGACGGAGGTCTCTATCCTTTCACACGTAAAAACAAAATAACGTAAAACCCCTCTCGACCCCCTCCCCCTGAGCGTTACGTATTTTAAGGACGGCCCCTAGTCAGAATTTTTTTTATGACGTGGGGACGGTCTTTACGGTTTAAACTACCTCACGAGGGAATTCAAAGGTTGAAAATTCGTCGAAATTACGAAAATTGACGTTCTTGGGGGATTTATTCCGGTCTTATGGAGGAGAGGGGCAAGATATCTTGGACCCCCCCCCCCCCCAACTTTGTGGCAGCGCCAATGACGAGACGAGATAGGTATCAATGTTTGGTTTTTTGATTGTGCAACCGCTTTCCTCGGAGCTGATCGGAAATTTACCATTTGGTTGTGCACCCTTCTCAGTGTTTTATTGAGGGAAGCCCTTTTTTTTCGTAAAGAAGTATTTGTAACATCGCAGTCCTTTTTAAAGCGCGACCATCTTTAATCGGTTCATCAGAGCGCGCATTTAATTTGTTTTCTTCCTCTTTTTCTAATTCATAGTCTGCGCGTTTCTGTGCATGTACTTAATTCTTGAGAGATAATAAGATCATTCCCGCGAAACAAGACCAAAGTTCGAGACTCGAAAAAACGTGCCACTGAAAAGGTGACTCGTGCTGGGTCAACAGCTCCCACTGTAACAAAATTTGAAAGGAAAGGCTAGAGCATCACGGTTTTGTGGGAGTGTCTCTCTTTCTCTGTCTTTTTCTTTTTCTTCAAAGGGGAAAACTACGACACCGTTAATTGCCCCAATAAGTACTCCCTCGCAGGTGGTAATAACCCCACCGACCAACACTTTCACCCGTGAACCTCTCCCTTTGATGACACGGACAAGACGCTGCAAAATTTGGCTGGAAGCCCCGAAGTTCCCCGTGCGCTTGAACAAAAAGCACACAAATCCATATGGCTACCATTGATGTTACGCTTTTTTGTCGCAAAACGATAAATGCCCACGAAAATCACCAGTGACTAGTCACAGGGTGCTGTTTTATTGGTGGGTATAAGAGTACTGTCTTCCCGCCGAAAGTGCATTATTGCCGCCATAAGCTCCCAAGAATGAAAACCCTACGTCCTGTAGACCACTTACACGATTAAAACATCCACGGGATGTTCGGGCGCCCCATATTTGATGGTGGTAAACGCTCACCGTGTATTGTTCCTTCTCGCCCACAAATTTATGGCGCTCGCCCCGCCACCAATAAAATTGCAAAATTAGATCCTCGGATCGTGAGTCCGTCCTTAAAGCCAGGCCGGAGTCCTCCTTTTTTCGGTTGAGACTCATTTATCATCGATCGATTAATTGAAGCAAAGTTAGGAGCGTCAAGTTTCGGGAACGGACCACATATCGCGAGCGATACCCGAATCAGTGGTGGCCAGACGTGCTGGCTCTGAGGTCGGGGTGTCTTGAAGATGAGGAGCGATGATTTTAATTTCCGACCGAGTTGAAAATTATGTGACCAGCTTTTTGAGTTAATTTATTCGGCCGAAATGGTTCGAACTTTTATTGGAACAAGGACCGCACACGAATATTTTATGATATTAATCCTCAATTTGTCAATGTTCTCCTCGGTGTTTCTCGAGGCCATCCAGAGTTTTCAAAATGCTGAAGATTAGGATACAGATTAGATAATTGAGTTAACTACATTTGCGGTATGGAGCTAATTCTAGATTTTTTTTTGAAACTAGGCATGTGCAATGGTGCTATCAATGTTTCTATGCAGAAAAGTCCTCCTTATCCATATTTATTTTCTTATTTACCTCCTGCTTTTTTCTCTTCTTGATTATCTCTTTTTTCTCGTTTTTATATCATTCTTATCCCTATTATATGCTCTCCGTCTCTTCCTCTCCTTCTGCTTCCTAATGCTTCCCTCTTTCTTCTTTTCAAATTTTCTTCTTTGTCTCCTTTATTCCTTTCCCTTCTATATATTATTCTTCTCTTCATTCTCTTTGTTCTCCATCCTCCTCCTCGAATTCCGCTTCATTTCCTTCTTTCTCTTCATTTTCTTCTTCTCCCTCCTTTCTCACTTCGATTTTTTCAATGCAGATAGGTTTTATTGACAAGAAATAAGCGAAAAATAGTGATGCCATATTGAAAAATGTAGTCCAAACGGTATGCTTTACTTATATTCAGAAAAATCGTTCAACTCTTTTACATCAGGTCCTGGAAGCAGAATCTACGCTAGAGGTTACGAAAATCCTTTCAAGAATTCTCACATAACTTGAAAGGGCGTTATCAATTGTTTGACCACCCCTGATTCGAACAAAGCATGTACTTCAGTCCACGAAAAACATTTATAGACGTCAATAAAAATAGAAGAACGGAGCCAAAACAGACGGTGGAAATAATGAGGAGTGGAGAAAATAGGCAATTATTGTAATAAAATCCTAAGTCGCATGGAACTTGATTCAGTTTGGCAAGTGCCTCGTTTTCGTGTGAGTGCTGTGTGTATTTGTGGTGTGTTAGCACTGCCATAAACAAGCGGTGAACTATTCTACAATAAATAGGGTCAGAAAGAGGCCTGGTTTTCCAGTTTCGACGTTGCCAGCAAAACCTCCATGACCGATGTTCATACCAAACCTCTCAGCTCTTCTTGACAAGTATTGCAGGAATAAAATCAGAGAAAAGCTTTGGCTCATCGATCTACAAACGTACCGATAACTCGATATAGATCTATTGAACGTATCGATGGCTAAAGTCGTCAAATCCTACCGTTTCCATTTTACAATCGTTCGTATCGATATTAATTATTAATTGGAAACTATGCTTTTGACTCTGTGCCAAGACTTTGGAATAAATGATTTTTGGCAGGAGCTTTCCTAAATGACTTATTTATAGACTGAAATTTTCAAATTTCCCCAAAATAATCCACCGAAAGGTTTTCGAGATATATCGATCGTACCCTAGTTTGTCTATTAGAACCACTCAAATTAATCCGTTGGATCGCTCCATACTCCGTATGTCCTTCTTATCATAGCTTTGTCTTGGGCACTGGTAGACAAAGCGATAGACAATGATGACCTATAGTCATTTTTATGACATGGAGAGATCCTATTGGTGGAAGAGGGTGGTTGCAATGGACAAAGGAGGAAGGTACTAGACTTATTGACGGCAACCCACGAGAGACCTGTGTAGTTAGTCCATCGTTCTCTCCTTTAGCCTATGAGAACCATCGATTTCAACTAATAAGATCGCTCCATACTTGAATCAGTGAGAACGAAAACACACCAACTCGGTAACTCAAAGATGTTCAATTTTAATCGGAGGCAGTCAATTTTCCTGAAGGTCATTGTAGTTAGGGCATCTTGGACCTTTAAAGTGCGTCCTTAAGTATTTGTCCTTCGACACCAAAAATCTTTTTCTTAGACTAACTTCTTCGCCTACCGTGCAGTTTTGTGTGTCTCGATTATTTTCATTTTTTCGAGTCGGTGTGTTTTCGTTCTCACTGATTCACTTCTTATGTCTTCTCTGTCTATGGCTTTGTCCATCAACTTTAACAATCAACCCACAGATTCTATTATTCAATTTTTACTCCGGAGAAAGAATCATCCTCCAGTGAAACGTTGCCGCTATAGAAGGCCCGGGCCGGGTGATAATTGAGATAATTTTGAGAACGGGAGGCACAGTGGGTGTTCTTCTTGGCAACGACAGGTTTCAAGCCCGATCACCAGTCAAAGGTTGCACTCTCGCGGGGCGGCGCGGCGCGAC